CGATATTTTGAACGAGCTCTCCGTTTCGTTTTTTTGTGCTGCTCCGTTTATTGTATTTTAGCTTTGGTTAAAGACCAGACGTCGAAGTGGCCACAGCAGTTTACTGCTTCTCTAATGTGGTCTTCGTCTGTTATGATACTGTTGCTTCTACCATGGGAGTGTTTCTTCTACTGATCCGTGTTGGTAGGTTTTCGGTACACAAGTAGTCTGATAGAGATTTTTTTTTATCTCCTGACCTTATCTGTGTCTAAAGGAAGAATGCCATTTTCGATCAATGGGTGCCGATCTTATGACGGCCTGCTGTATAGAGGTTCCATGTAAAGATTCTCTACAGTGAGTGACACCGAATTTTCCTTTTGGAGTTGAGTGCTTTTGTTGATACACATGATCTTTGAACATGAAATATGTCGTTTTCATGTCAAAAATAAATAACTCTATTACAGTGCTTTGTACTTACTGATAAATCTGTCTCTCATTGATTTTTTGTTTCTCGTCAGGATCTTTCTGTAGTGATATTGATGGCTACCTGTACTGGTGTGTTGGTGATTAGTGAGACCACATCACGAGAACTGATAATGACCTTTTCTTCAAAATGATATTTTCTACGTAAGACGACAGATGTTTGGAATTATAACATGGTCTTTTATAAGTCTTACCAATGTTTCGCCAAAGTCGGGAAGGCAATGGATTTCGTCCAAAACGTTTAACGTTAACGATATTCACATCAACTGGTAAATTGTTGTCAGTATAAAAATGTCGGGGAAATAATGTAGCCCTCATATTTGCCTGCTAGTAAAATAAATACCGGTAGTTACATACAGATGACAGTAAGACAGGGAAGACGGTAAGTGAACTATACCGGTAGTTATATACAGATGACACTAAGACAGGTATGACTGTACGTGAACTATACCGGTAGTTATATACAGATGACAGTTAGACAGGTATGACTGTGAATGAACTATACCGGTAGTTATATACAGATGACAGTAAGACAGGTTTGACTGTAAGTGAACTATACCGGTAGTTATATACAGATGACACTAAGACAGGTATGACTGTAAGTGAACTATACCCGTAGCTATATACAGATGACACTAAGACAGGTATGACTATAAGTGAACTATACCGGTAGTTATATACAGGTGACACTAAGACAGGTATAACTGTAAGTGAACTATACCGGTAGTTATATACAAATGACACTAAGACAGGTATGACTGTAAGTGAACTATACCGGGAGTTATATACAGGTGACACTAAGACAGGTATGACTGTAAAAGTATTCACACTCTCTTAAATGTAGAACTAGACCTGGTGAAATGAAGATCTTTCTGATTGACAGGGATACCGATGATTGACAGGGATACCGATGATTGACAGGGATACCGATGATGTATCACTAAGACAGGTATGACTATAAGTGAACTATACCGGTAGTTATATACAGGTGACACCAAGACAGGTATGACTGTAAGTGAACTATACCGGAAGTTATATACAGATGACACTAAGACAGGTATGACTATAAGTGAACTATACCGGTAGTTATATACAGATGACAATAAGACAGGTATGACTGTAAGTGAACTATACCGGTAGGTATATACAGATGACACTAAGACAGGTATGACTGTACGTGAACTATCCCGGGAGTTTTATACAGGTGACACTTAGACAGGTATGACTGTAAGTGAACTATACCGGAAGTTATATACAGATGACACTAAGACAGGTATGACTGTAGGCGAACTATACCGGTAGTTATATACAGATTACACTAAGACAGGTATGACTGTAGGTGAACTATACCGGTAGTTATATTCATATGACACTAAGACAGGTAGGACTGTAGGTGAACTATACCGGTAGTTATATACAGATGACAATAAGACAGGTATGACTGTACGTGAACTATCCCGGGAGTTTTATACAGGTGACACTTAGACAGGTATGACTGTAAGTGAACTATACCGGTAGGTATATACAGATGACACTAAGACAGGTATGACTGTAGGTGATCTATACCGGTAGTTATATACAGATGACACTAAGACAAGTATGACTGTAAGTGAACTATACCGGTAGTTATAGACAGATGACACAAAGACAGGTATGACTGTAAGTGAACTATCCCGGTAGTTATATACAGATGACACTAAGACAGGCATGACTGTAAGTGAACTATACCGGTAGTTATATACAAATGACACTAAGACAGGTATGACTGTAAGTGAACTATACCGGTAGTTATATACAGATGACACTAAGACAGGTATGACTGTACGTGAACTATCCCGGTAGTTATATACAGGTGACACTTAGACAGGTATGACTGTAAGTGAACTATACCGGTAGTTATATACAGATGACACAAAGACAGGCATGACTGTAAGTGAACTATACCGGTAGTTATATACAGGTGACACTAAGACAGGTATGACTGTAAAAGTATTCACACTCTCTTAAATGTAGAACTAGACCTGGTGAAATGAAGATCTTTCTGATTGACAGGGATACCGATGATTGACAGGGATACCGATGATTGACAGGGATCCCGATGATTGACAGGGATACCGATGATTGACAGGGATACCGATGATGTATGAGATATGTTATGCACCTGATAGAGGTTTACCTTTTTGTATCAGTCTACATGATGACATAACCCCTTGGCTCGGACAGAGTAATAATAAAATGAATGTTATCAGATGGAAATAGGCGTTTGAGATATTCCTAATATGACCAATACATTTCTTTACAACTACGGTCACTAGGGAAAATAATCATACCTACAGTAGGATTATCTTCAGCCATCGCAACAAAAGGAATAGTATGTAATGGAATTAGTCATGGTAAGGATAACAAAAGTAATATTGAGTGCCGTGTAATCCGTGACAAAAGACAACAGTGTTAAGATGAAATATGTGTAAATCAGTACTGCTTTATTACGTAAATACATGTACATATAATATCAAACACAATCCCAGGAAAGTTTAACTCCCTTGATTCACTTGCAATATTCTGTGACGGAGTTGTTCAAATGCAGATATCAAATTAATGACATGTACGATTTATTCCAATCTTTAAAGACTATCGGTGAACCGGAGAGCCAGAGTTCCGGAGATATTTTAAAAGAGGTTGAAAAACAGTTTTGAAGTGTAATAGCCCTTTAGGTATTCCGGGGGAAGGGGTTCCTTTCTGTCATATCTTAGATTGGTGTTTGTTGTTAAAATTTCGGGGTTTTTTTAAGTATTGATTTTCAAATAATTACAAGCTCTACTCATTATCATTTTATAATATGATTGATAATTTTGAGTCATGTATTCAAACTTTCGAGACATAATTTCGAAATTATATAGAATTTACATGCAAGAGACGATTGTTTACTCAATATTTTCTTATCATATGATTTTTATGACTTCGGGTTAATAATTCCAACTTTCAAGTTATAATCACGAAATTTGAAGTAACTTGCACGAAAAACGATATTTGTTCTAATTGGCCCTGCCCTTATTCTCTTCCGTAGTTTCAAAACATTGTGTTGTGATATTTTTATCAATAAAACCAACAATTACTGTGTTCCGCTTTATGTAATAGGGTGAAAATACATAATTGTTTTGATAAAAAAATCAATTCCAAATCCACAAAATTAACAAATGTATATTTTATTATTAAACGTACGATTTAGAATTGTTAACACTATATGATTCGAGACAGTAAGCCTGCTTAAATAGACAATACGATTAACATTGTATTTAATATATTAATGCTTAAAAAAAACCAAGGACAATTACAAGTAAAATATGAAATGCTCAGTCACATTTATAGGTAAATTTATTGTAGTAACAGTGACCTTGGCCCTTAATTGTAAACTTAATTAACACAAAATCTTTCTCAAAATTCGACCATTTGATAGACAAATCTGACAGTCCAAGAAGGAGGTGCCTATGAGCTTTTGGTATGCTAAAGCGTCCGTCTTCCTTCCTTCAAAAGTTTACTTTGAAGATCTTCCTCTTGATAACTGAAATACACAAAGTCATGATATTTGGTTGGTAGGTTCCTGGGATGGAGTGCTCTGAACTTGCCTTATATACATGAGTTTTAAACAATTTCAGTTACATTTTACAAACAATCACGTGGTCTATATCAATGAAACTTTGGTAAGAGATATATTTAGCTGTCATCCTGTTGCAGGATATAAACTTCTTTAAAACCAGACCAATTTTGAATATATATATATATATCACTGAATAGCGCGAACCTAAGTTAATTTCATACTTCGAACATAAACTTCAAATTTAAAATAAGACAGCAATACATTTAAATAAGATACTTTGACTGTAGATTAAAATTCAACAAAAAACATCAAAATTGACAGGAGTGTAATCTCATTGTATTTAAACTGTGACCTCATGCCTATGTCAGATGAATAAATATTTCACTCCTGGGGGGGTGGGGGGGGGGGGGTGATAGGGGAATCTCAGACCGAGGAGAGAGATCCCCTATCTCACCTCAAGTGGGTGAATCATTTATTTTATCTTACGCGGCCTTTCCATCACGGGGAAAAACGGTACCTTATATGGCCGGCTATGTAATAAAGTATAGGCCTACATATTGTAGACAGCGCATATAATTGATTATCATAACGATAAAAGTATTCATTTCATACTGACAAATCGAACACAGAGACCAAATTAAGTGGGAGAGAGAAATGGACAAAGGGTATCAGGCATAACTTTACAATTATTTTTTTTAGTTTATATCGTTTAAGAATCTGATAAGGTTTGTCTAAATTCCTACCACATGGATATTTCATTTTGTCGACATGATCATGCTACTTGTATTCAATTCAGACAAATTTCTTTTTGAGGTGAAATTTATTTTTAAATACCGTCGGCCTTACCATTGGGATTCCGGTCTAAATAGTGTTGTTCGTAGTCAACCTAAGTGACATATACTGAAGACTTAAACACGTTGTGTCAATATATGGGATGACGCAGCAGGAGCCGGTTTAGTTGCGTAGTTAATAATCGACAGACCAATGTGTGACGCTGTCCACCTATTTATATCACCGCGTAAATACCTGTAGGCCGTTGTAGGCTTATTGTTAACAATCTCTAGGATACAGTTATACACATTGTACACTCCGTTCAACAATACCCGTACGGGGTTTTCCAATACTGACAACCTATTTAATATATGTTCAATCCACCGTGTAAACTACCATTCGTTTGCTACTGAATAACGGCTGATTAACAACGTGTTTGGAGCAGTAGTCGGAGAACAGACTCAAATTGACTGTAACATATTACACAAGCTGATCAGACATGGATAAAGTGAAAAAATCAGACCTTGTGGAGCTGAAAGCTTTAAATGCGCCACCGCAGGATGTCAAAGAGATCCTGGCGGCCACAATGACGCTGCTTGGTAAGGAGAATGCAAGGGTAAGTTTGTTTCGTGTGTATGTGTTCAACTGATTATATGTGTGGACAGGTATGCGAGTATATAGAAATTATACACGATAATAGAACGATCGAAGAACTTCACACTTAGTAAACACGTTTGTACATTAAGCAGCACACAAGGAACGACAGATCATAAGTATTACACGCTCAGTGATATAAAAAAAAAAAACACCACATGGTTTCGTAATTAGTGGAAGCTACGTTTATTAGATGTGCTAAGAATGTGTTTCCTCTTCGATATATCCGTAGTAGAAAAGCGATAAACATTTATTAATGATAATTAAATATTCGAGATACATTAGTAGGTTCTATACATTTTGGTACTATATGGCAATTGAACTAATAATGTTTATTTATAATAAACATACATTATTTATAATAAACATACACATATACCAAGCCGAGTCTATGTCAACTCGGAAAGAGGTAACATCAGATGCTGATGTCACACCATTTGTTACTATATACAACCAAATACATGTGACATGTTTCCTGTCGTTCCATATTATTTATATCTCAAGAAAAAACTAAGATAGAAAATGAAGTGTGGTTTTGAAAACTAGAAGATTATCAACTGTAAATGACAACCCGAGAACTTGAAACGTTGGATATTATATTATTGTTGGACTTGGCTGAGTCGATCGCTGGCAACCAAATCTAGCTCCATTGGTTGAACTGAAACTGCCTAGTGTTCGGAAGGTCGTTGGTTCGAATCGCAGTCTGGCCGTGCGTTTTTCCAGTCCTGCTACAATAATTTCCTTCGAAATGATTTGTTACTTTTAATTTATTATCTATGTATAATGAACTCGTCTTAATATGAACAGGCAAGCGGAAATATGTTCCACAACTTCTTAATTCTTAATGATCAAATTTATTATTGATTTACATCAAGATAAAGTGAAAATATGTCATAGTATGTGATATACTAGCATAAACAATCACACATCACACAAGCTCACTTCTTACACATCCGAATCATATCTTACATACGTGGTCATGACTAGTACACACCAATAACACTAGAACAAACATTCGACGCATGGAAAGTAATAACAATTTACAATTTCATGTAAACAAAGAGTGATACTAATAAAATAGGCAATAATTACTGAAAAATTAAATAAAAATGTTTGAAGCATCTGATAATGAAATACAATTTTGTCAATGTTTATCAAAACTCATCCTATAGAAATAAAATCGCAATTATGAAAACAAACAGATTTCATTAAATAAGAGGTTTTAATTCGTGAAACGAGTATTTGTGAAAGCGCAAAAAATATATATAATCGTATTGTTAAGAGTGATTTGAGAAGGAATGAACGTGAATATCTATTGATACTCTCTACGTTGTATTGCATATCCGAAGCTAATCATAGTAAGTATGTATTAATGAAATGTGTTTTTTCATTATAGGATTACCGAACTGCTAAAAGAGAATTAGGTAGTTCGACATTCCTCAAGACATTGTCGACATTCGACGTGGATTCCGTTTCTGTGGAGGCCGCTAAGAAAGCAAATGAATATATTCAGGGCATCACAGTGGAAAGTGTTCGTAAAGTCAGTGGTGCTTCAGTCTCCATGTTCTGTTGGGTATGTATCACACCATTACCGTTTTTTGAAGTACGATATTTTTATAGAAAACATTCATATCTACAGTTGTATTTTAAACGTTTTTGATGATTTATATGATCCCTTAAATAAGCTGAAAGTTACTGTGCTGAAGCATAACAGTTTCCCCCTCTCCGATACACGGTTAACACGCAATGACAATAAATAGAGAACTTAACTTAGTGACCTTTTGGAACCGCAGATATATAGACAAGTTAGTTTGCCATTATTGAACATGTATGGAGCAGTTATGTAGATCACTTGTATGTTACCATATACTTATATATTTTTTCCAGGTTCAGGATGTTATATCCCAGGTAGAGACGAAGAAAGGAGGACTAAGCGATGCATCAATTAAGCCGGAAGGAACTGGATAGAAACTGCAAAGTGTTTAATTGTGAATCAGTCAAGGAATGTTAAAGTCTAAAACTTTATCTATATTTCAAAAAACCAATGAGTTGTCTTTGTATGACAATCGGTCGTAAGTACGCTACATTAAATACCACTACAACATATGTATTTTACCTTTATAAGACCGATATTAGAGTATGGAGATATTGTTTGGGACAATTTGACCAACCTGCAATCACAAAAGATAGAAAAAATACAACTTGAAGCTGCACGCATCATTACAGGAGGCACCAAGCTCACTAGTCATGCAAACCTTTATAAAGAAACAGGATGGCAAACACTTTCTTGTCGGCGGAAACATCACAAAATCATAAAATTTCAGAAAATAGTACACAACATCACCCCACAATATCTTAGAAACATTCTCCCAGAACGACATTCGCACATCCACCAACATAACACTAGAGACGCAAATAGATTTAGACCTGTACGTTGTAGAACAAACTTATATCAAAAATCTTTTCTATCTGCTTCTGTCAATCTATGGAATGAACTCCCTGAAGACAAGCGGAATGACGCATCCATAAAATACTAAAGCTACATCTTAACAGAAAGTTATACAAAAAGAATCATTTTATTTCTGCGGTTCTAGAATAGGCCAAATATACCATGCCAGGATCAGAATGAATGTAGTTCACTAAACGGCCATCTTTTTCATAAAAATCTAGTAGGGAGCCCGCTCTGTTCCTGCCGTGAGGCAAACGAAACAAAATATCATTATATATTATCTTGTCGGAACTATGAACACATTAGACAAATATGTTTCAGACCAATACAAAATCATACCCCAGTAGAAGCCCTCCTGTTTGTGACAACAATCTTTCACCTGCCCAAAATCGAAATATATTTTACTGTGTACAAAATTTTATTATTAAATCAAAACGTTTTTGACCTATTTAATTCATACACCCAATTGTTCACTCATATAGACCTCGGTTTTGTGTGTGCGTGTGTGAGGGTGTGTGGTTGTGCGCACGCGTGTTTTTTTCCCCATATCAGTTGGGCCATTTTTCGTAGCAACTTTGTAGTAGTACACAGAATACATTTTCCACTGTTATAAATCCGTTATGACAACAGTGACATTTACATAGGTTAACGTTTTGTACATTGGCAAATGCTATTCTTTCTTCTCTTCCTATTTCTTCTCCTCGTTCTTCTACTTCAAGTCTCTGTTATCCATTACTGAGGAAACAGATTGATATAAGTTCAATAACTTGTTTCTAGATCCTATTTCATGTATGTAATAATTAAATGGTCTGTATATTGTAATTGCAAATTTACGGAATAAAATATGGTTTATACTTAAAAATCACTACAACATACTTAGCCACTTATGCAGATCCTTATTTATAACATGACTGACAGGGATGGCTTTCAACGAAGCTAAGCAATTAGCCCGACAATTTGGTTGAAAAATAATTTATAGACAGAACAAATTGTCATCGATTTTAGAGCAACGTAGATTGTCAAAGTACACTCAAGCTACGGGTTACTCCCTATGTTTGAGAAAAATGCTTTATTTGAGTCTTGTTAGTTTGTGTTCAGAGGCAATAAACATACCTTTTATTTCAATTTATGATTGTCTTGTTATCATTACACCAAGCGTCTACAATATACATCGATTACCATTAATGAGGAAAAAAATCAAAGAGTCCAAATGAAATCCTTTAGATACCCCATGAGGTTTTTCGTATCTGTGGATATGTCTCCTACAATGGTAGCTTCATGAGACCTGTATTTGAGATACGAAACCATGAAACGCTACTGCTGTGTAATTTTAGCTTTCAATAAACAGGGAATGTTTTACTATATCAAACGTTTAACAGGGCTGTGTTACAACAGCGTTTTCACTAAGGTCATGTGTATTTTAAATAGTGTAGAAAGTGACATTGACATGTCGCGCAAACATATTGAATTCAATAGGTAGTAAAAAATGGTCTGCTATTATAAACCTCAGAGGTGCTTTCTTTAGCCGTCATCCTGTTGCAAGATATAAACTTCTCTAAAACCAAACCAATTTTGAAAGTATATCTATCACTGAATAGAGCGAACCAACGTTAATTTCATACTTCGAACATAAATTTCAAAACGCCGTTTTTAATTCAAAGATTCAGAAATAATGAAAATCGTAATGATAAATAAGCACGTGCAATGTTTTATGAATCAGGTGGTGCACGGCTTGTTTGCATCTGATGATATCAAGGATTAGCCATCAAAATCACCCTATTTATTTGGCAGGAAGAGATACATTTCCAACCAAATGTAGTATATACAAATTTAATCAATTTTCCAAAATAGAATTTGTATCTTTTCAAAAATATGGTTAAGGTAATTGTTTCGGTGTAAGAACACGAACTCCTGAAACACGGCCAACCAAACAGTACGGCTGTTTTACATGATTTCGCTTCTATTGAAGCATAGGCGCATGTTTTCATTCTACATTATATTTAAAAAAAAAAAAAAAAAAAAAATCCAAGCGTCAAATGGGTCTTTTGTATGAGTGATTATTTCAATCACCAGGGGACAGCCCCCATTCTTCAAGGTTTAACATCACTTACTATCAATACTGAATGTAAAACATAGTTCAAAATGATGTTTTCTGACCTTTCACGCAGGTAAATGGTCACTGAATCCATTAAGTACAATGTTCAAAGTTGTTTTGTATTCTGATGCTGTAGCATATATAAGGTCACTTAGTCTGTTTGTTTCAAAAATACGTGTATGCTCCTTAATATGGTGTTAATTAAGCCATTGGTCACGAAATGACGTACATATACACCAATGTCAAAAGATATCGTTGGTACACGGTCATATCCGATATTTTGTGCGGTGTGTGTTCTGTATTCTTCAAAAATGCTTTAGAAATACATGTTTATTGTGTAAAGGTCTTGCTTAGAGTCCTGTCCAGAATATTCAGTGTCTGGTTAAGACGGTGATTTATGCTACAGTTATTGCACTTTGACACGTAGAGATTCAAACTGTACCATAAATATAATCGAGTTTAGTAGCTGATGTACATATATAAACAGAAGTGGATTGTATTTTATTTAAAAGGATTTATGCTAATGAAGTTCCTTTATTTTCCGTTTAATCCAAAATATGTTGCGACTATAACGTTTCGAGTTTCTCCGTGCATATCCTTACGTTATATCCTGTAACCTGTTATACATAAGACATGGTTGAACTTGGCCGTGTTTTGTGAAATCACTGTTAATCATGCAGGTAGTGAAAACTGTGCTGCATTGCTTTCATTTTGATTTCCATTATAAGTGTGAGCACACAATGTACTATGGTATGATGTTTATTCTCATATAATAGTACAACAAAACTTTCGAAATTCCGATGACATTTCCTATTATCTATGTTTATATGAGTATGTATACAGGTTCAAATCGGTTCATTTATAGGTACATTCATATCATTACATTTTTATTTCCCTAGACAGCAATTCTGATCGATGCCAAATTAAACAGGAAAAAATATGTTCATTATTCATCTTTCTATTTGATGATAAACATTGGGCATGCAAACGACTGTTCAGATTCAGTTTTCCCAAAAAAATACATGTAAATGAAAATATCGAATTATGTATAAGCATTCACATTGTACTAACTCAAAACGATGTCAAATGTTATTATTCAATATAAATAGGTTTGTTAAAGCATCTGTGAACTTTTATTTCATGGCTTATCGTATGCAGTTTAAAAAAGAAAAAAATGTATTCATGTTACATTGGTGTGGTATTCTGTTGATGAATACTGACACGACGATAGTTAAGGCTTCAGAGTAAGCACATTGGTGTCAGTATTTACCAATTGTATTACAAACTGGAACTTCCATGGGACGACAGAAGGGCTTTTAAGACAAATTTCCACAGAATAAATATATTGTATATTATCATCAATGTCACATGACGCAGTAGGAACCAGTTTACTTACATTCACGATATATTTAAATACTCGCATATAAACCAACAGTTAATCGTGTGACGCTGTCCACCTATTTATAGAATGCCACAGCGTAAATAACTAGTAGGCCATTGTATGTGTATTGTTTGAGGTATCTAAGCTACCTACAGTAGGCCACAGTAAGGTATAGTCAAACAGTAGGTTGTACAACACATCGTGATAATTTTATATTGGACTTTCCCATGCTGACAATAAATATAATATATGTTTGATTTATCGTGTTAAATTAAATTTCCTTTGCAACTCTGTTACGGCAATGTGTTTAGCGGTAAGTGAATAGTGTTGATTTAAATTTGTTATATTTAACACTCTAGATTAGTGCTTAATATGGATAAAATAAGTAAACAAGACATTGTGTTGGAGTTTGAGTAATCCTCCGTAGCTCGTCAAAGATATCCTGGCAGATGCAATGACACTTCTCGGGAAGGATAACCCACGGGTAATTATTGATTACATAAACATAAAATGTCTATGTGTATCTTGTAATTATTATTTATATAAACATAAGCTGTGTATGTTTTTATTGTCATTATTCAAGTTAACATTGTAGGTGTACCTTACCGATTTGTTGTGTGTAGAGGTAAACGTGTGTGAGTTGTGCACGTATTTACTAGATTGGTTCCATTCCCGAATGTTTGAAACTTCATAATACAGCACACAACAAATGGTAACCATGGCAAAGGGCTTAGTAATAAAAAAACCAAAAACGTTATATTCATAATTATAGGCCACGTTTATTGGATATAAAGAGATGTTTCACTTCCACAGATTTGTGAAGTTTAATTAAAACAGGATTAATAGAAAACAGGATTTTGATCGGTCTATATAAAATAGAAACATGACCTTATATAACCACATGTGAAGATAAAATCTGTCGTGTACTTCACTGTACTGAAGGTATTTATAGATTATTTCACCGTGTTCTCAGGGTTTGGTTTAAGAACAATTTTTCAAAGACTCCGGTTTTTCTCCAAGTGCGAGCGATGAGAAAATAGTTAAACGCCAAACTCTGAAAACATTGTGGGGAAAACTATTTAGCATCTATATTCTACTACGTTATGTATTTCTCCATTACAAAAATCAAGATAATATGTAATGTCAGTATTGTTGTTGTTGCTGTTTGTTAATGAGAATATGTAATGTCAGTAGGGATGTTTTGCTGTTTGTTGTTGAGAAAATGTAATGTCAGTATTTTTGTTGTTGCTGTTTGTTGCTGAGAATATGTAATGTTAGTATTATTGTTGTTGAGAATATGTAATGTCAATATTGTTGTTGTTGCTGTTTGTTGTTGTGAATATGTAATGTCAGAATTGTTGTTGTTGATAATATGTAATGTCAGTATTGTTGTTGTCACTGTTTGTGTTGTGAATATGTAATGTCAGCATTGTTGTTGTTGCTGTTTGTTGTTGAGAATATGTAATGTCAGTATTGTTGTTGTTGAGAATATGTGATGTCAGTATTGTTGTTGTAGCTGTTTGTTGTTGATAATATGTAATGTCAGTATTGTTTTTGTTGCTGTTTGTTGTTTTAAATATGTAAAGTCAGTATTGCTGTTGTTGCTGTTTGTTTTAGAGAATATGTTATGTCAGTATTGTTGTTGCTTCTGTTTGTTGTTCAGTATATGTAATGTCAGTATTGTTGTTGTTGCTGTTTGTGTTGACGCCGTCGCCCCTGTATACGAAACACATCATGAAGTTTTACTTCAAGCAAAAAATAGTTAAGACTGATTTTGTCAATCTTATACAAAGCCATAATATTTTAGTTACATTTAATTTTTCAAAATTGGGGAGGAACCAATGCACAGAGGTTAGCAGAAATATACAGAACAGCATTCTATAGTATTGCAGGTTACCTATATCTAACGTAACCCTTTTGCTGACTGACCTGTTTTAGTCGTGAACTTATAATTGATAGTTTTTATAATTGCCTTACGTTATGCATCATCAGTCGTGTTAATCTTTAAGTGGTTCAGTAATATTTCTCATAATGTGTCTTACGTCATATATACTCAGCCCTTTGTGTGGTGATTGAATATGTGAATGATGTTGAGCGGAATTATGCAACACAAGACATATATTTGTTAAAAGTTTTAATTGATGACTTAATTTTTTTAGTTTATAAAAAAAATAACTTCTTTTACATTACTTTTGTTTCTAATGACAAGGTTGTCATTCCATAGCGATGCAACCATGATTCAACGAAAACTTTATGAGAGAACGATATAATATCTATTAGGATTGGATTGTGTGTATGACAAACTAGTGTGTTAAGATGACAATACTCTTGTTCATCACATATTTACTTATCATACTAAAATTAAATGTATGTATCAGACAAATAATCAGCTAGACGATCAGGTTACCATCGCTGAATAAAACACTAATTCAAAAGTTCTCCAGTCAAAACAAAGCTTGGAAATCTGAGATTTTTTCTCCGCACTATCCCCCAGCCTGTTCTTTTCAAATTAAAAGGACATGAGCTATACTCGATGATGATTTTCAAAAACCTGATGTGAATGTTTCTTTGTATCAAAACTTTTTGAATGCGACATCTTAATTGTCCTTTTTTTTCTTTTCATAAATGTTTACATGGTTTTCAGGTACAAGGTGTCCTATCCCAGGTGGTTGAAGCGAAGCAACAGATAAGTCGGAACCATGACGTTAACAGATACTGCCGATTTTATAATACATTAATCATGAATTGATATAATGAATCACCTGCATGTGAACCGCATTACGAATGAGTGTTATTGTCGTGCTTTATAAATATATTTGATATATTGTCTTTGAATAACAAGAAATTAACTGACAACGTAGATCGTATACACTCTCCGCAAAAATCAATTATTCTACAGGTTCTTGTACATCAGTGGCCTAATTCAGTCTTTACCTATTAGATGTCAAGCAGGGAAAGCTCTTTAGGAAACTGTACGATAAGCTTTAGAGTTTTGATTTTCCTAACGCAAAATCTCCCTTCATTAAAATCTATGGTATTTACATGTTTACAGCTGATCTGATATTCAGAAGCTCACTCCTAGCTTTTCATTATATATGTTAGATTCACGTTGGTGGAGACAATGGGCATGCTTTATGGTTGACATTGGTAATGATCGTCATTGGTAAATATTCATAAGAGTGTTGTGTGTTTTATCAATATCTCACTTTCAGGACATGACACTACGTGGATTTGACCTTGGTGTACATGACAGCTATTGTCGATGAAGTAGAAGACGCCAACTATTCCAGATCATCTGGTTATATTGTATATTCTCATGATTATCCACGCTGTCTGCTTCACTTTTCAGGAAACTTACCTACATACAATCCAACAGCAGTATTTATTAAATCACTTTGAATTATAGTAATAAGAATAAGGACGGAAAGAGGAAATGTGTTGGGAAATCGTAATTCTGTAAATACTAAATGTATAAATTGAGAGAATGAGGAACTTTTTGTGGGAGTAGATGTGGGAAACGATTTGGTTTTAAGAGAGGGATCCTGTGATCCTGTAAGATAAGGTTAAAAAGGAAGCTCGAAAGGCGTTCATGTCAGACAAATCGTGTAGCTTCAAGCCAAGATCACACACTCCTTGGATTCAAACCGTTTACGTAACGGCTACTTATCAAAGGGAGACAATCTGTATTTTAACGTATATCAAATAGTTTTGATAATCTGTTTCTCTACTGAAATAGTTTTACTGTTAAATTGGTTTAGTAGTCAGACACATTGCTGCCGTCAAAATAGTGTTATAGTAACTGCTGCAGATATTGTATCAACTGTTAAGCGTATTTTTTGCTGGTTAATAGAACATAAGGCTTTTCTAAATATGGAATTTTTATACAGTACCTTGTTGTCCCCCACCACACTGAATTCTGACAGTATAAGAGCATAATGTATAAGAGAGTTGCAGCAGCCTATGTGATGACATGTAATAAAAACACGAGAACTGTTTTTAATGTGTTTGTGAAGTAACTTCATCTCGAAGTGATGACCACATAGGACCAAGGGCAGACCTGTTAAAACATGTAAAGTGTATTGATATACATAAAGGATCAACATATTCCGAGAGCTGGTTAAATTATTATGAAGGAGTTGTTTCCCTTACATTAATCAATCTAAAGACATTTAGATGTAAAGGGTAAAACGTTATTTTTAAACTTCTAGATATATAAGAGTAGTCTAAACTAGTTTTATAGCTATATCTAGAGTTAGTAGGAACCATAATAAGCGACACAAATTTAATTTTCCCCAATTTCCTAGACGGCATTTCTTTGAAAGGAATATTTGTGAGGGACATACATGCCAGCCAACCAAAATATTTCTATTATATGCAGAGGGTAACAATCGTCCCTTTAATACCATGAAATCTTTTATTTAGTATTTGTCCATCTAAATATATATAAATGATCTTTAAATTCACGTTCCACGAGTGTTAGTGAATTATTAAAGCAAGTCATGTGAAGTAAGACATCTGACATCTTAGCACCAGAAGATGTGACATAAACAAAACAAATCAATAAATGGTTCACGGGAAATCTTCCAGTTCGTGAGGATATCGAAAACATTTTCAGTTTGAACAAAGTTTATTTTAAAAAGAATGTTTAACATTTAACACGTTTAATATGAAAGTACAACATAACATCAAAACATTAAATTGCAATAATAATTATACAAATTATGTAAAAATAGATATCTTTGTATCATTGTTTGTTAAGATAATTTCTGACTGAGAAAATACGTGTACACGTACAATACGGCATGTCGTGTAACAACATATATTAATACGAAGGTAAGTCTTCTTTACATGTATATCAAGTCCCTCACGATGTTGTGGCGCTGAGCACTAACGAAAAAAGAAAGAAATATTACACATTATATAAAATATTTCATAGCATATACAACTGTGTATAGGGCATTCATTAACACATAGTTTATAAAATACAAAACAGTTTATAACATACAGTATATAAAATATTACATTAAGACAAGGTTGAAATTAGATAACATTTTGCTTTTATCTACTTTCGGCAGTTTTAACAAACAGGTGTGTATGCCATGCATGCGTACTTTTTGTTATATTTCAATCATAATGATCAAATCTGCAAAATAGGAAGAATATTTTATCTGGAAAAAACATTTGTTCCATTTTATAATTCATGTTTAAAATCATGATATTGACTGAAACTCACGCGCTGTTGTACATCCACGCATTTTGCCTACGTCATCAAGGATGCAGATATCGTTGTCCCCACAGGTACGTGCAGCACAACCTCCAATGAGAGTCTACAACATACAGTTTGAAATACTTAAGCTTAAGCTACATACCAATTATCTTGGTTTTGTTATACCTGATCAGAAAATAGTACACTATGTCGAGAAATGAGGGTCTACAACATACAGGTTGAAATAGGAGCTTAAGCTATATACGACAGACAGAAAGCGATGGGGATGTGTTTTTCACCGCAATTTGTCTTTATAGTCAACCAACTCTTTATCAGCAAACATAATTGCTCTAACTCAACCATGTTCTTGTTTTGTCCTGTCGTATGGACTTTTATATATTTATTTTTTATTATAGCCTTAGTGGTATGTATATGTATACTGGTCAATGAGATATCTTATTATATTGTCTACGGTCTAACGAGAAGTAACTCTATTTCGAATAATTGATAATATTTTTCACTTTTTCTTCATTAGTTTGAACTTTCGGATTCCGGATAAGTTGTCTGACAGATGTTTAAATGTGTCCCGATCGAAAATAGAAATTGCAAAGATGCCTTCATAGTTTGGTTTATTAATAAGGAGAATTCAACGGATTTCCAGTCTAAGACAAATACAAACTTTGATAACATTAATATATAGGAATTTGTTCAATTATACAGCAGAACCTCAATTTACATTTTTATCATTTCTTTTCCAGATAAATAAATGGGTCGATTGATTAAATAATAGGAATTTATAAAGGAATTCTTAAAAAAAGATAATACGGATGTTGCAATATGTTGGCGGTACTTGAGTTGGGAAATTGAATGAGGGACATTACATCGAAGTTTTGTTGTATTTATGTGACGACATCAATTACTCACCGCTGAAGGTGTGACGTCAGTAAACCTGTAGCCAGTTGTGGCCGTCAGTGTTCCGTCAGTAGAATTCTCTGTGTTCATTTTACACAATTTGTTGGAAGTGTCAAAACTTACAGAGCCACACCTAGAGAAACAGATCAGGCGAGCAGTTAGCAGATCTAGTACATTGCTGTTGACAATACTACGGACCAGTGTTTACTGGTGACTTGTAATGGGAAGTCAACTAGTTGACATAAGTGCTATTGTTTCAGCGTATTAAAATTCGTGCTATACTTTGTTTTATTTTTATAAAGTAGCGACACATGTTTCATGCGTTTCATTATCGGTCCTTATATCAATCTTGTAGAATAACTTGTAGAATCATACGATAATTAAGCAGGGTAGAATTTAACAATACTGAACAGAAGGTATATACTTATGTATTATGATTATATAGTTGTGTATAACAGTATGTCATCCTCTTTTGAGATACCATTAAGTACTACTACTGTACCATGTTTATTTTAAATATAAACTATCAGGATATGATTTACTAATTCTGTTTCGTATATTACGCAGGCTATATACAGGAACCATTTTGTCTGGCTCTACAGTATTTGTAGATATAATGACAAATGCACTTCATAATGGTAATCATTTAAAAGCATTATGATAAAAGCATTTGATTGAAAGGCTTATCGCCTGAATGGGCCATAAAGACAAGCAAACATTATATAATGAATAAACACGATCTAATGACAAAACCTACAATAAAGCAATACATTTACACGATATATTGACAAAACACATAGAAAAATGATAAATAAACATGATATAATGAAATGAAAAAAAGGAATTAAAAATGATAGCATAATAAAAATGTAGCGTTTGAAACAGCAATGGCGTTCTACACGATATATCTCATGACGACTTTCATTATTTGGTCGGTTTCAACGTAAACAATGTGTCTGTGTAGACCTTGTGCTACTTATTTTATTTAACGAACAAATACACTATAATGTTAAAAGAACTTAAAGTACAACTTACTTGGTGGTTTGCTGACAGAGTAAAGAACAAGAAAACATGTCTGGAATTGTGAGGTTGAGGAAAAAAGGCTCGGACAGACTTTTATCTTCCTGATAGTTCAACGAGATAAAGTCCTGACAAAGGTATCTACGAATACAAACACACATCACAACACAACAAATCCACGTCCTGGAGTTCATCTCGGCTTTTCTTGTCCTGTTTTGTGCGTTTTTGCTGAAATAAGTGAAGAAGGATATTATTATGTCCGTTTCATGTACACTATTTTATAATTAATAATATTAAGAAAATATAAGTAGAATTTGAAATAGTTATTTTAGTCTTGTCCCAATTATCAGTAAGCACGACCATTATTGTTGAAAAGCACTTCTTTATTTTCATCTATAAGTCACAGGTTTATCTGTTGACAGTGCCCTGTAGCCAAAACTTTAAAAAAAAAAAACAACATTGATGTCACATATTAAATAATTTAAACTAATAAATCCTAAACATACTAAAAATCCTAAATAACATACATTTATTTTGACATTTTGCTATTTTCAATCGCCCTGTGTATACGCAACAGAATATACATATATAAACCTTGGAACTGGCAATGTATACCCATCCTCCCCAACCCTCTTTGAAAATTGAAAAAAAACAATTTCTTGCCATGGTACGTTCTTTAAAATATTAAAATATATAAACACTAACATGAATCAAACTTTAGAAGATGATTATTGAAAAAATAGAAATTGCTCCTATTATACAGCAAATAGACATATGTGATAATTAATGTTAATAAATTTGATCAAATTGAAATCCGCACGCCCTACTGATTTCGAAGTGTGGGTTAAGGTCAACTATCCTACGGTTATTTCAAGAATAATTCAAATCGTATGTGAATATTAGCAGACATACACTTAATTACCCAGTACGAATCTTCAATTAGGCAAGTTGAAAATAAGAATACTAGGTATCAATGAATAAAGGGTAGTTATAAATGTAAAAATGTATAAAAAGAACTCATAAAATGGATCTTGATTGCAATGGATGCAATACATCACTACTGGCCTCTTTGTTGTATACTAAATAGAAAACACGGAATAAAAACACCGACTCTGGCAGGGGCCCCTGTTGCTTCTTACGATAACATCCATAGATACAGCTTATGAATTATATGATTTCATATAACTGTGTTTATTGATTTTGTATGTCCTGAACACCTCCCTGTTTTCTCTGTAATTCCCTTATTGTAGAATTACTTACTCATTATACTACTTCAGCTTTATATACAAGCCCAGATTACTCCAGATATCTATTTGTTACATTTATTTGAGAACTGATGCGGTGAACATGCTAATGTTATGCATATGACCCTTTAGTGCCCCTTAATAATTAGTAGTCAACCAATCAAGATAACTCTCTCCATCACGTGACCTGGTTAATTAGTAGTCAGCTTCAGTTGTAAAAATATCCATCTGAGAGACTGACGTACTTACTTCATTACGATAATCTCTTCCTTATTATTTGCTTATACTGGGACTATTCCTACGACTGTGTTTTCCAAAAGACTATATCCTATCGTAGTGGAACTGGACTAGTCTGCTGGCTTTTTCTCTTTATTTGCGACCATTGAAGAGCTAAAATTGTCGTAGTTCGAGAGTCAACTTCTTCACAATGGTTCCACCAATTCCTTGTTGACTCTAATTGTGTATCACTACGTTATATCGCCACTATGCCTAGACCTGCCCGACATCGTAGTTCAGCTACAGCTAGTAAGCAATCTTCCACTGAACGAAGACCCGAGGACTACGTGAATTTACCAGAGCGTGGCGACATAAACATCAACAATGAAGGGCAAGGTAACTCAGAGTCAGACAGTTTGCGCGCTCGTGATCGCCATCACCCATACCGAGACGTTTCGTGGAACATGGATAATCCCGGCAACTGGACTGTTGCAGAACTAAAAGATCGACTTTGGAAAGACTGTGGGATAAAAGTACCCCGTGGGAGCTTTTCAAAGGTAACTTTAAAATCGTGGTACATAGAGAATATGGGATCTACATCTTCGTCGCGTACTAACACTGTTACTTCAGTTACCCAAGCTACATTAGCGACACCACCGGTGCCTACAACTGCTACTCATATCAATGCGCCAGGAAGTAGTTCCGGAAGTGACACAAACATCATGGCAGCTCTCCTGTCAACACTGAACAACGTCACTCAGTGTTTCTCGTCTCTACAGGACACAGTTAGGCAATTGACCGCAGAGAAAGGCGAGAAAAGGCAGAACTTCAACCTCGGGAACTGGTACGTCTCCAATAGAGCGGAGACTATGGTATCTCAACCAGAATCGCAAGTATTTAGCCCACATCCAACCGCGAACAGTCCGGGTTCCAGCATACGTTCTGATTCCATCACAACTGTAGACATAGTTTCACCATCCCTGCAGCGCCAAATAACAGAAGGTATGGATGTAAACCTCGCTTCCTTACTGATTCCGAATTACGATTGCCCACAAAATCAAGCTGTTGTCACGGACAACATAGAGTTCAATCTGATGAGCAAACCTGACCCCCGATTAAACCGTCAACTTACTATACAGGAGTTCATTCGGGAAATACAAACGTGTAATGTGTAACACTTACCCTGAAGGACAGCAAGAGCCCATGCCTACCAAGACGTTATCATCGAAATTTCAAATTCTTACCACACAAAATTTTACGACTACCACAAAATGTTTAGTGCTAAAGCAGCGGCTATACTCAGAGAGAAACATATCAAGGAAGATTGGCGCAAGAGAGACAGAGATTTGTTAGCCCTAGTCAGTGCCGGCGTGGAGGTCAAGGCGTGTCATGTAACATGGTAGACCATACAACCCAATTCTGCCCTCTGAAAAGCTTTCATGAAAGATCAAACTCCGGGCAAGTTTCGGACAAAACTCAGAACAATAAAGAGAAATTAGATAAACAGGGTCGACACCGAAATTTCTTCGAGGGACACGAAATTTGTAATAATTTCAACGGATCCCAGGGCTGCTTCAGGAACCAATGTCCATTACTACACATATGTACACGTTGTAAGAATCAAGGTCATGGTGCCGCTCTCTGCCCAAGAAAGAAAACCAACACTACTGTAAACTCTAGTTCTAATCATAGAGGAAAGTACAACTCAGAGAAATGACTACCGGTACCTACCCCAACGAACAGCCTGCCAGCCCCCTACATTTGCAAAGCATCTACCCCAGTCAATATTAGCCAATTAGAACACGAACTTTCCTCTCATTGTGATAAAAAATTTGTTTCATACATTTGCAATGGCTTCAGAGATGGTTTTGACACTAAAACTGCAACATCAGACATTTTCCGTCATGGAAATATAGAATGTAAAAATAACTTGTCAGCGAGGACTCGACCCGACAGTGTCACACGACTGATCACCGATGAATGTCAGAAGGGGTTCATGTATGGTCCTTTCGATAAACTTCCCTTTACAGAATACCGAGTAAGTCCATTGGGAGTTAGTATAGGGAAGTACTCTGGAAAAGAACGTTTGATCCTGGATCGATCGGCCCCACATAATGACTTGGGTGTCAGTGTTAATGAGACTATTGACCAAAGACTCATGCTCAATGTCGTACGTCAAAGTGGATGATGCCATTCGTATTATAACTGCGTGTGGCATAGGAGCTTGGTTGTGTAAATTTGACATCGCGGACGCATTTAAGATATGTCCTATCAAACCGTCGCAGTGGCCCCTTTTCTGCATTAAATGGGATTCAGCTTACTATTTCTATGTGAAATTAACCTTTGGTTTTCGTTCCAGCCCCAAGATTTTTGACACTCTATCACAATCAATCTGCTACATAGCTACACATAACTACAAAGCTCAACACATCTTGCATCTGCTAGATGATTTTTTTTAACTATAGACAGCCCAGATAGTGTCGTAGAAAGGAATATGGCTGTATTGACAATGATATTTAAAAGACTTACCATACCATTATCAATGAAGAAAACTGTTGGTCCTACTACATGTTTGGAATATTTAGGCATTATTCTAGACTCGGGTAGGATGGAAGCTAGGCTACCAGCAGACAAAGTACAGCGTATCTGAGACTGTATTAGGGAATTGCAGGGGAAATCAGTGTGTACTAAAAGGGAGTTACTTCAACTTCTAGGCCACCTGAACTTTGCATCGCGCATCATTTTACCAGGACGCTCGTTCGTTTCATACTTGATCAATCTTTCCACAACTGTTCGAGGACTACACGACTTTGTTTGCCTCACTAAAGAGAGTCGTACCGATCTGACTTTCCTACAGCAATGGAACGGTGTGAATTTGTTCTACAACCCACACCTCATACAGAGTCATGAACTCGATATGTATACTGATGCATCTGCTACTATAGGTTTCGGAGGATAATTCCGAGGCAAATGGTTCTCATCTCCATGGCCATTAGACATCCCTGAAGTTAAGGAAAAATCATTGTCTGTCGCTTATAAAGAACTATATCCCATCGTAGTGGCAGCTATCTTGTTGGGGAGCCAATGGGCGAAACAACAGATAGTTTTCTGGTGCAATAATGAAGCTACAGTAGCTATTGTGAATAAAGGACGTTCAAAATGCCTTTACATCATGGAGCTTATGCGGAAATTGACCTGGTGTGCTTGTATACATAACTTTAATTTCCGAAGTAAACATGTTCCAGGGAAATGTAACTCTATTAGTGATTCTCTTTCTCGTCTACAGAAACAACGGTTCAGAAACCTGGCACCACAAGCGGATCCCAAGCCCCACCAGTGCCTGCCGTACTCCAAAGTCATCTGGGGTTAAACTCTACAGTTAAGAACCTTTTGTCAGGGGCCATAGCATCAAGTACACGTACAGCCTATCATACAGGGTATGAGCACTTTGGGAAGTTCATGGCACTTCATTACATCGTATGCGACCCTACAACAGGCCTCCCACCCATCTCAGAGGATATTCTTATCTACTTCGTGACACACTGCTTTAAATTCTTAAACCTTCAACATTCCACTATTAAACTATACCTCAACGGTACCTTCAGCAGAATGTTCCGTCTACTTTGGACAGCCTAGAATCTAAACCCCTTCCTCGCTTGGCTCTTATCCTCAAGTCCATCAAACGCGATCAAGGATCAAACACTACAACTCGCCTACCTATTACAGGAGATATTCTCCACAAGATGTGTGCTTTTTTGAGGCGCGGTGTGTTCTCTCCATTCACTGATGTCATGTTAGAATGTGCGTGTACTATAGCCTACTTTGGCTTCCTGCGTTGTGGAGAATTCAACTCCACAGAATGCCGCAAGACTTGTGCCCGGTGAAGATCTTGAAGGAATATCTTGCACTACGACAGGGGAAATCCCGATCTGTTCTACCATCACAACCGCTGTTCATCACAGACAGTAATACTGCTTTGGACAGAGCACAGTTTATTCAGTATTGAAGACAAGTGTTAGCCATTTGTGGATACGACCCGCGCAAGTACAATGGACATTCTTTCGGATAGGTGCTGCCACTAGTGCAGGTGCAGCAGGTGTGGAAGACCACCTTATAAAGACATTAGGGAGGTGGAGCTCCGACTGTTACTGTCGATATATCAGAACTCAAAGTTTTAGTATCGCGAAAGCACAGAGACAGCTACTGATCCATGATCCAGCATCCTAGTGACTGCTTGCTAGATAAGTTAATCTGGTACTTACCACAGGCCTCCTTCAAGACATTCTCCTAACAGTGTCTAAATGTACGCTATATATAAGACACTAAGTACATGCAATATGACATGTGTGTGCTGAATAGAGAATATGTTATATACTGTATCTACGTGATAGGCGAGAGCCTGTTTAAGAGTATCATGAATGTATATAGTTATATGTATATCTATACTACAATGTACGCTTAAATATTGTAACTAATACACTGGTGTTCATGCTTACTGCTATCCAGGTACACTGCTGTATGAAGTATTGAACTAGCTATCTAGTATATATACTATATGTGTCACTCGATACATTTTCTACATCTACTGACTTTTGTGTTATACCGACATATATTACACTCCTGTGGTCGCTATCGCCACCTCTTAACCAAACAACCTATATACAATTTACACATCTACTAATTGTATATATATATCCATCTTTTATTATGTACCTTGGGGATCAAATTTAGCTGCTTCACTCTCTGAACTTTTCGCACCAAAATTTTCTTTTGGACTCACACTTCAAATTTTTTAACCCCTTTTATTAAAAGGGGAAAAGTCCTTGGGTTTGCCAAGGTCATAATATTCATTCTAAAACATGTAATAGAATTCAAGTTTTAAATTAGTGTATCAGTACATTATACTCTACTATCAATCGACCTCTATGGTAACCACACTGGTTACAGATGGCACCACTCAACCTTGTTAGATATAGAACATCCCTGTTCTCCTACACTAGAACATCCCTGTTCTAGGCAGTGGTGCCATCCCCTTATTTCGTAGAACATCCCTGTTCTAGTCGGTTGATCGTGGAAGGTCTGTTTCATAATTTTATAAGTCTTTTTACTAACATGGACAGACCTACTCTACAAGTCCATACAGAAGCAGCTGAGAAATAATTCCCAAGGGCCAAAATTATTTTGTAAAATTTGTGTTATTATGTCATGATTATTTTGTTACACCTGTTGAATGTACATGTACAATAGTTAGTTGGTATTCTTGATCTATGTTTTTNAGGCCTATTATGTCCCCAAACAGGGTAACAGGGAGTGAGATAATTCCCTAGCTGAAGCGTTACCTTACATATATGAAAAACCTATACCACAGATAGAAGTCCTAAAACGTGAAGACTTACCTTGATAGCGTCTGTCCAAAACTGCCAGGGCAATAACGGATTCTCTCCACAGCGTCTATTCACAACGACCGTCCTTGGTAAGACTAGTGACAAAGCTGTACCGTGGACACCACCCGTACTGCGACATGAAGTCGGGTATACGTAGCACCAGTAGTAGACGTAAACTGAATTATCGATCGGCAATGGCAATGAACATCACACTGTATCGTCTGGCGTACCTGATGATGTATGCAAGTCCTTACCAGTAATGTTAGCAGCACCATTAATAATATAAATGGCATACAAGTAATTAACGATATTTGCAGACTTACTGTGCCACTAACCTCCCTTTAAGGCGCAATCATCTGTGTGTGCCTTGCGTATACTGTTATCCTTCCTGAAGAGTTCCAAAGATTTAAACATGTCAATGGTCTTTAATGAAGATATCGTTTATTTATCAATGACAGCTCTGTTATTTGAAAAGATGTATTAATAACACTGACTCTACCATGCCTTACTTGCTATATGAAAAAAGATATGGGAGATAATTCTAACAATAATTTCGCGTTTAATGTGCCAGTTCGAGTACGTGTGTACTTAATTCCTAGAGATTTCCTGTTTATGTCGTTAGATACATTATCAAGAGAATTTTCGTTGCAATGTGGTCTCGGGGACTTTCATGGAAGAACAATGGGTAATTTAACGGAAATGTTACCTGTCCCTAACCATCATAACCGTAACATTCACAAAGCACTTAGGCCCGTAAACTAGTGAAATTCCAAAAGGTGACATCAAATACCACTTAAGACTCATTTGTCTTTTCCGTCGCGTTTCAGCTGTGCAAGGCTGACTGCCAGGCACTCCCGGTATTCCGTAGTATTTTTATCCAGGCACAAAAATCAATTGCCATTCTAAGTGCGACGGAAACGGATAACAACGAACACAGAAGCATCCAGACTTGAATAAAAATTGATTTTGATTTAATATTTCATGTTCAATAGGTTGTTAATAATGTGTTCTTTATCTGTAAGGTTACTATACATAGACATGTTTTTGATCGAAAAGAGATTCGAAATATCCTTTTTTTAGAAATGTTAATTGTAACATTTCCTTGGATGTTCATTACGAAATATGTATATATATGTTTAGCTTATACAGATAAATGTATGAGCTTTCCACAGTAAAAATGTTGTTTTTATCATGTAAACTACCGATTAAGCAGGGGGCCCACATTGTTCGCCTCCTACGATATGCTGTGGTACATGTATGCAGTAGGCTTACTTTCTCGCTATATTGATAAGTGGAAGTTCTATGACAAACCAACATAACGTTTATTACCAAAAGGGTTCGCAAAAGTATTAAATAAATATAAATTAGATAGAGATATCGCTATTTCATGTTCTCTCTATTCCTAAAACTTTTAATGAATTCTCACTTATATGAATGTAATAAAAACTGTTCTTTTTATAAACTGTTACTTAACGTTATAAGGAAATACAATAACACGGATTTCTTCACCTCAATTTTTTTTAATGATTAACAAGTAAATAAAACGCATGAATTCATTATGAGATGTACTATTATATTCTACAGTGGTACCTGCCATATTGTGGAAATATCATCTTGTTTGCGAATAGTGTTACCGCGGTTCCCTTGACATCTATACCATTTTGATTCAAATTAACATCGTTCCTGAGCATAAATATTCTTCCACTTAGAAATGGAATATTAAAGCATTAACATAAGTAAGGAAGGTCAATTGTCATGTGTTGACCTCGACTACTGAAACCGCTGATACTGGTCGGAGTTATATTCCCCCTTAAACTGTTACTGAACTTTATCCGTATCCAGTATATTTTTTCTCGACCTTTTCAGCTCGGGAAACCGTTTGTCCTATCATTTTCGTGTAGTATACTTGAAAATTCGAAAGAAATACCTCAAATATCAAATTTTGGTCTCGATAAATCGACAGAGAATGCAGGAACACTTAGAAATAAGTCTTAATTTGTAAAAAAAAAAAAAAGAAAGAAAAAAAAGGACCGAAATTGGACTGTTTAGGAATATTTCAAAATTCAGAAAAATGAGGTTGTGTCACCCTAAAAACTTTCGTCACATAATTGCAGTAACTTGCGATTAAACGCAAAATCAACTTTTATATTAGCTAAATATCTAGAAAATACATGAAGTGATCTTGTTTGTTTAAATAAACTATTGTTGGTAAGTTTATACGTACTTTTGAAGTCAGTTCGTCACACAATTGCATTTTTCTGCGGTTAGATAAACAACGCTTTAATTCAGGAAATGTAAAGGATATTCAAGACATAATTGTATTTAATTTTATAATATCGGTGTTTTCTAGAAACAAATAAAGAATATATGTCTAACCGCAAGTGATTGCAAGTATGTGACGAATTCAATGCCAAGTAGATATCAGATGAAAAACGGAAAGAATCGAGCCCCTTTGTTTTTTATTGTAGAAAACTTTATTGAAAGCTTTGCGTGGAGTAAAAAGGATTAGAAAAAATGTATACATCATTCAGATAGGTCAAAATATCACTGAAATATGAGGCTTTGCAATTATGTGACGAAAGTTTTTGACAAATCAGGGTTAGATGTAAAGGATGTTTTTCTCTTCCTCTGTGATGTTATAATGTGTAATTATATACTTCTAAAGACTTTTGTCACAAAACTGCGGCCACAAAAGACGTTATATACTTAACCATACGATATGCAATTATGTGACGAATTTAGTCTGGGTATATGCATGAGGAGGAAATATGGTAAAACAATAAAAAGTTGATTTTTTTCATATTTTCCCTCATAAATGTGAAGAGAATGTCGGAAAATCTTGAAAATACATTCAAAGTAGAAAAAAAGTCTCCTTTTTTTATGGAAATCACTAAATTGCAATATCATTATTAATGCGTCATAAATTATAAATGTTAGATCCGAGAAATGGAACTGTTCTATATTGTTGCAGAAACAGGGTTAATATACGTCCTAAATAATTGTATATGTATGTATGTATGTAGATGTGTGTGTATGTATGTTTGTATGCATGTATGTATTTATGTATGTATGTATTCTCGTATAGTTACTATTATATCATTATTTCCTTTTAGTTACTATTTATCATATAGATATTATCTTGCAGTTATTATGATATACATACTTTCTTGTTGTTACTACCCTTGCAGTTACTGTAATATAAATACTGTTGTAGTTACAAGTATATAAATATTTTATGTAGTAACTTTTTATCATATGGATATTCTCTTGCAGTTCCTATAATACAAATTTGTTTGTAATTACTATTATATAGATATTCTTTTGCAGTTACTAAAATATCAATATCTTATTGCAGTTACTATTATATCAATATTTTTGTAGCTACTGTTTATCATATAGATATTCCCTTGCAGTTACTATACTATTAATATTTTTGTAGTTACTAGTTTATAAAAAAAATCTTTAGTTACTTTTTATCATATAGATATTCTCTTATAGTTACTATAATATAAATATTTTTGTAGTTCTATCATATAAATAATTTCTTGTAGTTATTACAATATAAATATTTTCTGTTGTTACCATTTATCATATAGATATTTTCTGTAGTTACTAATTATCATATAGATATTCTCTTGTAGTTACTATAATATAAATACTTTTGTAGTTACTATTTTATAAATACTTTCTTGTAGTTATTACTTTATATTTAGTTACTTTTTATCATATAGATATTCTCTTATAGTTACTATAATATAAATATTTTTGTAGTGCTATCATATAAATTCTTTCTTGTAGTTATTACAATATAAATATTTTCTGTTGTTACTATTTATCATATTGATATTTTCTGTAGTTACTATTTATCATATAGATATTCTCTTGTAGTTACTATAGTATAAATACTTTTGTAGTTACTATTTTATAAATACTTTCTTGTAGTTATTACTTTATAAATATTTTCTGTTGTTACCATTTATCATATAGATATTTTCTGTAGTTACTAATTATCATATAGATACTCTCTTGTAGTTACTATAGTATACATATTTTTGTGTAGTTACTATTTATCCTAAAATTATTCTCTTGCAGTTACTAATATATAAATATTTCTTGCAACTACTTTTTTATAAATATTTTCTTGAAATTACTAATATATTTTTTGTATTATAAATATTTCCTTGTAGATACTATTTATCATATAAATATTATCTTGGCATAAATATGATATAAATTGGTAAAACAACGTTTTCAAAAATATCTTGTTTTCGAAATTGGTCCAAAAATAAGGATTTTGGAAGCTGTTGAAATTTGCTCTTTGTTACTAGTTAAAATGGGCAAAGGTACCAAATGCGTCGTTCTGGGAAGTTGTACTCAATAAATAAAAATATAAACTTCATTTTTTTTACAGCAATTATGAAACAAGTTATTTCAAATTATATTAATCACTCTTGTTGGCCCGGATGTTAGCGTGTGAGGGGTCTTAGTGTGTGAGGAAACCAGAGTACCCGGAGAAAACCACGTGGTCGGGCAGGTGACCCAAACCTTTTCATGTCCGATCGGGGAATCGAACCCCGGCCGCCTTGGTGAAAGGCAAGTGCGCTATCCACTGCACCACCCGACCACCCCTTGTGATTGAGTTGTACTCACGGAGCACGCGCACGCAGCATTTTTCTGAAGTAGTTTGGGTACCAATTAAGATGATACAAAACAAGTCCGAGTTCTCTAACTGGAATATGAGAAAAACGCGAAAGCTACACGAACCTTTTTAGTTCTTATTAATATATTTCAAACTTCAACGTAATATTCCCCTGCAGTTGGTCTTAGCTTAAAGCTGGTTAAATCACGTTTTAAAAAATATCTCGTTTTACGAAATTGGTCTAAAAATAGGGATTTTGGAAACTGTTGAAATTTGCTCTTTGTAACATGTAATGATATAATAACTTGCATTGTCTTTTCCTCTTAATGTCTTTATCAATCTGTAAATGATTGTCAAATCACTTGAAAAATATAGAATGATTCATATAAATGGGTTTTGAGATCTTCTTATTTCTAACCTTCATCTACACACTGGAAATACTCAATTATCACAACAATGACAAAACACGAGGTTAACTAGAGACCTCTGGGTCTGAATGACTAGCGGGGAATATTGTGCCCCAAACACTGCAAGTCATTACTAGTTTTGCACAAAGTCATTGTAGTAGAGGTGGTTTTGTTGTGAGACATAGGACAACTCCTCTGGGTTTTGTTCACTGTCATTTTATTGCTCCTTGTAAAAACCAAAAGAACCCTGAGTGTGGCACAAGGCCTTGGCTACTATCTATTTGTATAATTACGACGCCTTCTTCAATCGTATGCAATACGGATATAATTACATCTCTCCGTCCGTCAACTACGAGTCCTCAAAAGGTACTAGCGTGATTTATTTGCCCTCAAAGAAACATGCGCCAAAACTGACCACCCAGAACGAACCAATGAAAACGCATACACAACTTAACGTAACACTACTGACCAATGAACAACTGTATGGTATACCAACATATCAACATACGTAACGAGCAGAATACCACAATACACCTATAGACATAACATCACAGTATAGAATACAACACGCGGACGCGGTAATTACATTACTCGGAGTATGAAATATATACATGGACAGTCGACGCGCTACGGACGGACTTAGTAAACAAACATACATACAAGCAAATACATTAATTATATCCCTGTTACATCATCATGACGAGTGCTCTTTTTTCTCTCTCTAGTACTCCTGCGTAGTGGCGGGCTGGTGGCATCACTTCGCAGTGTGTCGATACAGTAGGACTTGACCTTACACAAGCAGGCTGTTTTTCTGGAGTGTTTACTGGTTTACCAGCTTCCAAGTCCTCCTTCAGCTCCTCTATTTCCTCATCGAGTTGCTGCTTACTTTGTTGTGCCTTTCCTTGACATTGGTTTATTTTCTTTAAACGTGATTCATTTCTTGTTGTTTTACCATCAACAGTGAGCATGGGGCCTTTCCTGCTCGTGACGGTCCTTGGCTGTGGATCATACGCCGGTGTGAGTTTGTTGCCTTTCATGTCCTACCTCTCTATGACAACATCACCAACAGATATCTCACTGTCTTTTGCATGGTTTCTAGCATCAGCGTACAATTTTCTTTGACATTTCCTCTTAATGTCTCTTTTGCGAACTTGTTCGTGCAGCGCGTTCTGTTTGCTTTCAGCAACTTGTGGCATCTTTGTTCTTGGTTCTCAAAGATCTCAAAACCCCATTATATAAATCATTCTTTATTTTTCAAGTGATTTGACAATGATAATCATTTATAGAGTGATAAAGACATTAAGAGGAAAAGACATTGTGGGCCCCCTGCTTAATCGGTAGTTTTCTCCTATGTTGTGCATATATGTACATGTAATTTGTGCTTACATGATACAACAAACAACAGTTTTATTATGGAAAGCCCATACATTTATCTGTATAAGCTTAACATATACATATTTCGTATTGAACATCCAAGGAAATGTTACAATTAACATTTCTAAAAATCTCTTTTCGATCAACAACATATCTTTGTATAGTAACCTTACAGATAAAGAACACATTATTAACAACCTATTGAACATGAAATATTAAAATCAAAATCAATTTTTATTCAAGTCTGGGAGCTTCTGTGTTCGTTGTTATTCGTTTTCGTCACACTTAGAATGGCAATTGATTTTTCTACCGGGATAAAAATACTACGGAATACCGGAAGTGCCTGGCAGTCAGCCTTGGACAGCTGAAACGCGACGGAAAAAGGCAAATGAGTCTTAAGTGGTATTTGATGTCACCTTTCGGAATTTCACTAGTTATACGCGCCTAAGTGCTTTGGGAGTGTTACGGTTATGATGGTAAGTGACAGGTAACGTTTCTGTTAAATTACCCATTGTTCTTCCATGAAAGTCCCCGAGACAACATTGCAACGAAAATCCCCTTGATAAAGTATCTAACGACATTAACAGGAAATCTATATGAATTAAGTACATACGTACTCGACCTGTCACATTAAACGCGAAATTATTTTTAGAATTATATCCCGTATATGTTTTTCAAATTTCAAGTAAAGTATGAGAGAGTCAGTGTTATTAATACATCTTTTCAAATAACAGAGCTGTCATTGATAAATAAACCAAATCTTCATTAAAGACCATTGACAGGTATAAATATTTGGAACTCTTCAGGAAGGATAAACATTATACGCAAGGCACACACAGATGATTGCGCCTCAAAGGGAGGTTAGTGTCACTGTAAGTCTGCATAAATATTACTGATGGTGCTGCTTACATTACTGGTAAGGACTTCCATACATCATCAGGTATGCCAGACGATACAGTGTGATGTTCATTGCCATTGCCGATCGATAATTCAGTTTACGTCTACTACTGGTGCTACGTATACCCGACTTCGTGTCGCAGTACGGGTGGTGTCCACGGTACAGCTTTCTCACTAGTCTTACCAAGGACGGTCGTTGTGAATTGACGCTGTGGAGAGAGTCCGTAATTGCCCTGGCGGTTTTGGACAGACGCTACAAAGGTAGGTCTACACGTTTTAGGACCTCTTTCTGTGGTATAGGTATTTCATATATTTAAGGTAACGCTTCAGATAGGGAATTCTCTCACTCCCTCTAACCCTGTTTGGGGACATAATAGGCCTGTTGTATCTACTGGATGTTATCGTAAGAAGCGACAGAGGCCCCTGCAAGCGTCGGTGGTTTTAGTCTGTGTCTTCTACTTAGGGTACAACAAAAAGGCCAGTAGTGAGGTATTGCATCCATTGCAACATTGTGTATGTAGTTTTCTTTCTACCCTAATCTTTCAATTCGATTGTGTATCCCAAGGCACCCGTTCCGTCTTCATATGACCTCGTCTGTTACGAGGACTCTAAGCTGTAAACACACAAACAAAACTAAACAAATGGACATTCTCTCAGTACTGTTGGTTTACTTGAATTTAGGAATGAACAGGTACTTGTTAGTGCAATCATTTTATGAGTTCTTGTTTTACATTTTTACATTTTATTATTACCTTTTATTCATTGATACCTAGTATTCTTATTTTCAACTTGCCTAATTGAAGATTCGTACTGGGTAATTAACTGTATGTCCTGCCAATATTCACAAACAATTTGACTTCTTCTTGAAACAACCGTAGGATAGTTGACCTTAACCCACACTTCGAAATCAGTAGGGCGTGAGGATATCAATTTGTTCAAATTTATTGGCATTAATTATCACATATGGCTTTTTGTTGTATAATAGGAACAACTTCTATTTTTTCAATAATCATCTTCTAAAGTTTGATTCATGTCAGTGTTTATATTTAATATTTTAAAGAACCTATCATGACAAGAAGAAAAAAACCAAAGAGGTGTGGGGATGGGGGCTGTTTGTAGCCATGCATTGCCAGTTCCAAGGTTCCAGAATAACAACCGGTAACGATCTTAAACAAGTACAAGAAAGAAATAATTTAATGTATTTTGTATATTCTGTTGCGTATACACAGGGCGATTGAAAATAGCAAAATGTCAAAATAAATGTATGTTATTTAGGATTTTTTGTATGTTTAGGACTTATTAATTAAATTATTTGATATGTGACATTAATAAAAAAAAAAAAATAGCTACAGGGCACTGTCAACAGATAAACCTGTGTCTTATAGATGAAAATAAAGAAGTGCTTTCCAGAAATAATAGACATGCTTACTGATAATTGGGCTAACATAACTATTTCAAATTCTACTTTTACATTTTCTTAATATTTTTAATCATAAAATAGTTTACATGAAACGGACATAATAATATCCTTCTTCATCTTATTTCAGCAAAAACGCAAAAAAAAGGACAAGAAAAGCCGAGATGAACGCCAAGGCGTGGATTTGTTGTGTTGTGATGTGTGTTTGTATCCGTAGATACCTTTGTCAGGACTTTATCTCGTTGAACTATCAGGAAGGTAAAAGTCTGTCCGGGCCTTTTTTCCTCAACCTCATCATTCCAGACATGTTTTCTTGTTCTTTACTCTGTCAGCAAACCACCAAGTAAGTTGTAATTAAATTCTTTTAACATTATAGTGTATTTGTTCGTTAAATAAAATAAGTAACACAAGGTCTACACAAACACATTGTTTACGTTGAAACCGACCAGATGATGAAAGTCGTTATGAGATATATCGTGCAGAACGCCATAGCTGTCTCATGTGCTACGTTTTCATTATGCTATCATTTTTAATTCCTTTTTTTCATTATATCATGTTTATTTATCATTTTTCTATGTGTTTTGTCAATATGTTAATGTATTGCTTTATTGTAGGTTTTGTCATTAGATCGTGTTTATTCATTATATAATGTTTGCTTGTCTTTATGGCAAATTCAGGTCATAAGCCTTTCAATCAAATGCTTTTATCATAATGCTTTTAAATAATTACCATTTTGAAGTGCATTTGTCATTATATCTACAAATACTGTAGAGCCAGACAAAATGGTTCCTGTATATAGCCTGCGTAACATACGAAACAGAATTAATAAATCATATCATATTATTTAAAATAAACATGGTGCAGTAGTAGTATTTAATGGTATCTCAAAAGAGGATAACATACTGTTATACACAACTATATAATCATAATACATACGTATATACCTTCTGTTCAGTATTGTTATATTCTACCATGCTTAATTATCGTATGATTCTACAAGTTATTCTACAAGATTGATATAAGGACCGATACTGAAACGCATGAAACATGTGTTGCTACTTTATAAAAATAAAATAAAATATAGCACGAATTTTAATACGCTGAAACAATAACACTTATGTCAACTATTTGACTTCCCATTACAAGTCACCAGTAAACACTGGTCCGTAGTATTGTCAACAGCAATTACTAGATCTGCTAACAACTCGCCTGATCTGTTCTCTAGGTGTGGCTTTGTAATGTACTAGATCTGCCAACAACTCGCCTGACCTCTTTCTCTAGGTGTGGCTCTGTAATGTAATAGATCTGCTAACAACTCGCCTGACCTCTTTCTCTAGGGGTGGCTCTGTAATGTACTAGATCTGCTAACAAATCGCCTAATCTGTTCTCTAGGTGTGGCTCTGTAATGAACTAGATCTGCTAACAACTCGCCTGCTCTGTGCTGTAGGTGTGGCTCTGTAATGTATTAGATCTGCTAACAACTCGCATGACCTCTTTCTCTAGGTGTGGCTCTGTAATGTCCTAGATCTGCTAACAACTCGCCTGATCTGTTCTCTAGGATCTGCTAACAACTCGCCTGATCTGTTCTCTAGGATCTGCTAACAACTCGCCTGATCTGTTCTCTAGGCATGGCTCTGTAATGTACTAGATCTGCAAACAACTCGCCTGATCTGTTCTCTAGGTGTGGCTTTGTAATGTACTAGATCTGCCAACAACTCGCCTGACCTCTTTCTCTAGGTGTGGTTCTGTAATGTACTAGATCTGCAAACAACTCGCCTGATCTGTTCTCTAGGTGTAGCTCAGTAATGTACTAGATCTGCTAACAACTCGCCTGCTATGTTCTGTAGGTGTGGCTCTGTAATGTATTAGATCTGCTAACAACTCGCATGACCTCTTTCTCTAGGTGTGGCTCTGTAATGTACTAGATATGCTAACAACTCGCCTGCTCTGTTCTCTAAGTGTGGATCTGTAATGTATTAGATCTGCTAACATCTCGCCTGACCTCTTTCTCTAGGTGTGGCTCTGTAATGTCCTAGATCTGCTAACAACTCGCCTGATCTGTTCTCTAGGCATGGCTCTGTAATGTACTAGATCTGCAAACAACTCGCCTGATCTGTTCTCTAGGTGTGCTTCTGTAATTAACTAGATCTGCTAACAACTCGCCTGCTCTGTTCTCTAGGTGTGGCTCTGTAATGTACTATATCTGCTAACAACTCGCCTGACCTCTTTCTCTAGGGGTGGCTCTGTAATGTACTAGATCTGCTAACAAATCGCCTAATCTGTTCTCTAGGTGTGGCTCTGTAATGTACTAGTTCTGCTAACAAATCGCCTAATCTGTTCTCTAGGTGTGGCTCTGTAATGAACTAGATCTGCTAACAACTCGCCTGCTCTGTTCTCTAGGTGTGGCTCTGTAATGTACTAGTTCTGCTAACAACTCGCCTGATCTGTTCTCTAGGTATGGCTCTGTAATGTACTAGATCTGCAAACAACTCGCCTGATCTGTTCTCTAGGTGTGGCTCTGTAATGTACTAGATCTGCTAACAACTCGCCTGACCTCTTTCTCTAGGTGTGGCTCTGTAATGTACTAGTTCTGCTAACAAATCGCCTAATCTGTTCTCTAGGTGTGGCTCTGTAATGTACTAGATATGCTAACAACTCGCCTGCTCTGTTCTCTAAGTGTGGATCTGTAATGTATTAGATCTGCTAACAACTCGCCTGACCTCTTTCTCTAGGTGTGGCTCTGTAATGTACTAGATCTGCTAACAACTCGCCTGATCTCTTTCTCTAGGTGTGGCTCTGTCAGTTTTGACACTACCAACAAATTGTGTAAAATGAACACAGAGAATTCTACTGACGGAACACTGACGGCCACAACTGGCTACAGGTTTACTGACGTCACACCTTCAGCGGTGAGTAATTGACGTCGTCACATAAATACAACAAAACTTCGATGTAATGTCCCTCATTCAATTTCCCAAATCACGTACCGCCAACATATTGCAACATATGTATTATTCCTTTATAAATTCCCTTCATTTAATCAATCGACCCATTTATATATCTGGAAAAAAATGATAAAAATGTAAACTGAGGTTCTGCTGTATGATTGAACAAATTCATATATATTAATGCTGTTAAAGTTTGTATTTGTCTTAAAGAGGAAATCCGTTGAATTCTCCTTATTATTAAGCCAAATTATGAAAGTTCTTTGCCATTTCTATTTTCGATCGGGACAAATTTAAACATCTGCCAGGCAACTCATCCGGAATCCGAAAGTTCAAACTAATGAAGAAAAAGTGAAAAATTATCAACTATTCGAAATAGAGTTACTTCCCGTTAGACCGTGGACAATATAATAAAATATCTCATTGACCAGTATACATATACATAACACTAAGGCTATGATAAAGATAAATATATAAAAGTCCATACGACAGGACAAAAAAAGAACATGCTTGAGTTAGAGCAATTATGTTTGCTGATAAAGAGTTGGTTGACTATAAAGACAAATTGCGGTGAAAATTTCTCGACATAGCGTACTATTATCTGATCGGGTTTAACACAACCAAGATATTCGTATGTAGCTTAAGCTTAAACTTAAGTATTTCAACCTGTATGTTGTAGACCCTCATTGGAGGTTGTGCTGCACGTACCTGTGGGGACAACGATATCTGCATCCTTGATGACGTAGGCAAAATGCGTGGATGTACAACAGCGCGTGAGTTTCAGTCAATATTATGATTTTAAACATGAATTATAAAATCGAAATAAAACAAATCCAGATAAAATATTCTTCCTATTTTGCAGATTTGATCATTATGATTGAAATATAACAAAAGGTACGCATGCATGCCATATACACCTGTTTGTTAAAACTGCCGAAAGTAGATAATAGCAACCTTGTATTAATGTAATATTTTATATACTGTACGTTATATACTGTGTTGTATTTTATATACTATGTGATTATGCTATGAAATATTTTATATACTATGTAATATTTCTTTCTTCTTTCGTTAGTGCTAACATCGTGAGGGACTTGATATACCTGTAAAGAAGACTTACCTTCGTATTAATATATGGTGTTACACGACATGCCGTATTGTACGTGTACACGTATTTTCTTAGTCAGAAATGATCTTAACAAACAATGATACAAAGATATCTATTTTTACATAATAAGTATAATTATTATTGCAATTTAATGTTTTGATGTTATGTTGTACTTTCATATTAACCGTGTAAAATGTTAAACATTTTTAAAAATAAACTTTGTTGAAACTAAAAATGTTTCCGATATCCTCACTAACTGGATGATTTCCCGAGAAACCATTCATTGATTTGTTTTGTTTATGTCACACCTTCTGATGCTAAGATGTCAGATGTCTTACCTCACATGACTTGCTTTACTAATTCACTACCACTCGTGGAAAGTGAATTTAAACAGATATATTTATATTTGGATCATTTATATATATTTAGATGGACAAATACTAAATAAAATATTTCATGGAATTAAAGGGACGATTGCTTACCCTCTGCATATAATAGAAAACATTTTGGTTGGCTGGCATGTTTGTCCCTCACAAATATTCATTTCAAAGAAATGCCGTCTAGGAAATTGGGGAAAATCAAATTTGTGTCGCTTATTATGGTTCCTACTAGGTCTAGTTGTAGCTATAAAACTAGTTTAGATTACTCTTATATATATAGAAGTTTAAAAATGTCGTTTTACCCTTTACATCTAAATGTCTACAGATTGATTAATGTAAGGGAAACAACTCCTTCATAATAATTTAACCAGCTCTAAGAATATGTTGATCCTTTTATGTATATAAATACCCTTTATATGTTTTATCAGGTCTGGCCTTGGTCTTCTGTGGTCATCACTTCGAGTTAAAGTTACTTCACAAACACATTAAAACCAGTCGTGTTTTTATTACATGTCATCACATAGGCTATGTACAAGAGTGCTGCAACTCTCTTATACATTAAACTCTTATACCGTCAGAATTCAGTGTGGTGGGGGACAACAATATAATAAAAATTCCATATTTAGAAAAGCCTTAGTTCCTATTAAAGAGAAAAATACGCTTAACAGTTGATAAAATATCTGAAGCAGATACACTTGAACACTATTATAACGGCAGCAATGTGTCAGACTACTAAACCAATTTAACAGTAATCAACAATTTCAGTAGAGAAACTATTTGATATACGTTAAAATACAGATTGTCTCCCTTTGATAAGGAGCCGTTACGTAAACGGTTAGGATCCAAGGAGTGTGTGATCGTGGATTGAGGCTACACGATTTGTCTGACATGAACGCCTTTCGAGCTACCTTTTAACCTTATCTTACAGGATCACATTATCCCTCTCTTAAACCCAAATCGTTTCTCAGTATTTACAGAATTACGATTTCCCAACACATTTCCTCTTTCCGTCCTTATTCTTATTACTATAATTAAAAGTGACTTAATCAATACTCCTGTTGGATTGTATGTAGGTAAGTTTCCTGAAAGGTGAAGCAGACAGCGTGGATAATCATGAGAATATACAATATAACCATATGATCTGGAATAGTTGGCGTCTTCTACTTTATCGACATTAGCTGTCATGTATATCAAGGTCAAATCCACGTAGTGTCATGTCCTGAAAGTGAGATATTGATCAAACACACAACAATCTAATGAATATTTACCAATGGCGATCATTACCAATGACAACTATAAAACCTGCCCATTGTCTTCTCCAACGTGAATCTAAACATATATAATGAAAATCCTATTTCAGGAGTGACCTCTCCAGAATATCAGATCATCTGTAACATGTAAATACCATAGATTTTAATGAAGGAAGATTTTGCGTTAGGAAAATCAAAACTCTAAAGCTTATCGTACAGTTTCCTAAAGAGCTTTCCCTGCTTGACATCTAATAGGTAAAAACTGAATTAGACCACTGATGTACAAGAACCTGTAGAATAATTGAATTTTGCGGAGAGTGTATACGATCTACGTTGTCAGTTAATTTCTTGTTATTCAAAGACAATATATCAAATATATTTATAAAGCACGACAATAACACTCATTCGTAATGCGGTTTACATGCAGGTGATTCATTATATCAATTGTCGATGATAGAGTTCGTGATGATTCATGATTAATTTATTATAAAATAGGCAGTATCTGTCAAAGTCATGGTTCCGTCTTATCGGTTGCTTCGCTTCAACCACCTGTCTTCTTTTCTGCCAGTGATAGGACTTCTTGTACCTGAAACATGTAAACATTTATGAATAGAAAAAAAGAACAATTAGGATGTCTCATTCAAACAGTTTTGATACAAAGAAACATTCACATCAGATTTTTGATAATCATCATCGATTATAGCTCATGTCCTTTTAAATAGAATAGAATTAAATTTGAATAGAACAGGCAGGGGGAAAAGTTCGGAAAACATTCTCAGATTTCCAAGCTTTGTTTTGACTGAAGCGTTTTTTAATTAGTGTTTTATTCAGCGATGGTAACCTGATCGTCTAGCTGATTATTTGTCTGATACGTACATTTAATTTTAGTATAATAAGTAAATATGTGATGAACAAGAGTATTGTCATCTTTACACACTAGTTTGTCATACACACAATCCAATCCTACCAGATATTATATCGTTCTCTCATAAAGTTTTCGTGGAAACATGGTTGCATCGCTATGGAATGACAACCTTGTCATTAGACACATAAGAAACGTAAAAGACGTTATTTATTTATTAACTAAAAAATGTAAGTCATCAATTAAAACTTTTAACAAATACATGTCTTGTGTTGTATAATTTCGCTCAACATCATTCACATATTCAATTACCACACAAAGGGCTGAATATATATGACGTAAGACACGTTATGAGAAATACTACTTAACCACTTAAAGATTAACACGACTGATGATGCATAACGTAAGACAATTACAAAAAATATCAATTATAAGTTCACGACTGAAACAGGTCAGTCAGCAAAGGGTTACGTTAGATATAGGTAACCTGCACTACTATAGAATGCTGTTCTGTATATGTCTGCTAACCTCTATGCATTGGTTCCTCCCCAATTTTGGAAAAATAAATATAACATAAATATTATGGCTTCGTATAAGATTGACAAAATCAGTCTTAACTATTTTTTGCTTGAGGTAAAACTTCATGATGTGTTTCGTATACAGGGGCGACCTCGTCAACAACAAACGGCAACAACAACAATACTGACATTACATATTCTCAACAACAAACAGCAACAACAACAATCTGACATTACATATTCTCAACAACAACAATACTGACATTACATATTCTCAACAACAACAATACTGACATTACATATTATCAACAACAAAAATACTGACATTACATATTATCAACAACAAACAGCAACAACAACAATACTGACATAACATATTCTCAACACAAACAGCAACAACAACAATACTGACATTACATATTCCCAAAAACAAACAGCAACAACAACAATACTGACATTACATATTTAAAACAACAAACAGCAACATCAACAATACTGACATCACATATTCACAACAATAAACAGCAACAACAACAATACTGACATTACATATTCTCAACAACAACAATACTGAAATAACATATTATCAACAACAAACAGCAACAACAACAATACTGACATTACATATTCTCAACAACAACAATACTGACATTACATATTCTCAACAACAACAATACTGACATAACATATTATCAACAACAAACAGCAACAACAACAATACTGACATAACATATTCTCAACACAAACAGCAACAACAACAATACTGACATTACATATTCCCAAAAACAAACAGCAACAACAACAAAACTGACATTACAAATTTAAAACAACAAACAGCAACATCAACAATACTGACATCACATATTCACAACAAAAAACAGCAACAACAACAATACTGACATTACATATTCTCAACAACAACAATACTGACATTACATATTCTCTAAAACAAACGGCAACGACAACAATACTGACATTACATATTTAAAACAACAAACATCAACATCAACAATATTGACATCCCATATTCACAATAAACAGCAACAACAACAATACTGACATAGCATATTCTCAACAACAACAATACTGACATTACATATTATCAACAACAAACAGCAACAACAACAATACTGACATAACATATTATCAACAACAACAATACTGACATAACATATTATCAACAACAAACAGCAACTACAACAATACTGACATTACATATTCCCAAAAACAAACAGCAACAACAACAATACTGACATTACATATTCTCAACAACAACCATACTGACATTACATATTATCAACAACAACAATACTGACATAACATATTATCAACAACAACAATACTGACATAACATATTATCAACAACAAACAGCAACTACAACAATACTGACATTACATATTCCCAAAAACAAACAGCAACAACAACAATACTGACATTACATATTCTCAACAACAAACAGCAACAACAACAATGCTGACATTACATATTCACAACAACAAACAGCAACAACATCAATCTGACATTACATATTCTCTAAAACAAACGGCAACGACAACAATACTGACATGACATATTCTCAACAACAACAATACTGACATTACATATTCACAATAAACAGCAACAACAACAATACTGACATAACATATTCTCAACAACAACAATACTGACATTACATATTATCAACAACAAACAGCAACAACAACAATACTGACATCACATATTCTCAACACAAACAGCAACAACAACAATACTGACATTACATATTCTCAACAACAAACAGCAACAACAACAATGCTGACATTACATATTCACAACAACAAACAGCAACAACATCAATCTGACATTACATATTCTCTAAAACAAACGGCAACGACAACAATACTGACATGACATATTCTCAACAACAACAATACTGACATTACATATTCACAATAAACAGCAACAACAACAATACTGACATAACATATTCTCAACAACAACAATACTGACATTACATATTATCAACAACAAACAGCAACAACAACAATACTGACATCACATATTCTCAACACAAACAGCAACAACAACAATACTGACATTACATATTCTCAACAACAAACAGCAACAACAACAATGCTGACATTACATATTCACAACAACAAACAGCAACAACATCAATCTGACATTACATATTCTCTAAAACAAACGGCAACGACAACAATACTGACATTAC